ATCCCACGACATAGGCAATGTCGGGTCTAGTACAATCAGTGGCATACCGAAGGCTGCCAATGATGCTCGCATAATCTGATTGCCTTACGGCATCACCAGTGTTCTTAAATAATTTAACACTGGAGTCATAAGGTGTATTAGCAGGTTTACAGTCAAAGTAACCATATTTCTTTAGGATTTTCTCAATGTAATGAGATTGATCCAAAGAAACTCCATTTTTTGTCCTAGTAATCTTAATTCCAAGGATTACATTAGCCTCTCCTAGGTCTTTCATGTCAAACTCAGCATTCAACAATAACTTTACATCATTCACAGCATGAATGTTCGAGCCAAAAATTAACAAGTCATCCACATATAGACAAATTATAGTGCATATGTCATTCTCAAATTTTACATATATGCATTTGTCACTACCATTTATCTTAAAACCATGTGAGATGACTAAGTTATCAAATTTTTCATGCCATTGTTTAGGTGCTTGTTTGAGACCATAAAGAGATTTATCTAGCTTACATACCAGATGCTCTTTTCCTTGAACAACGAATCCTTCCGGTTGATCCATGTAGATTTCTTCTTCCAATTCACCGTTCAAGAATGCAGTCTTTACATCCATCTGATGTACTACAAGATTAAAAACAGAAGCAAGAGATATTAGTACTCTAATAGATGTTACTCTAGTTACAGGTGAATAGGTATCAAAGAAATCAACATTCTCCCTCTGTCTGTAGCCTTTAGCTACCAAACGGGCTTTGAACTTATCAACGGTCCCATCAACTTTCAGCTTTCTTTTTAGGACCCATTTGAAACCAATTGACTTGCAGCCTGGTGGCAACTCAGTTAGATGCCAAGTTTGATTAGACTCAAGTGAGTCCATTTCATCGTTCACGGCTTCTTGCCATAAATCTGCATCAACTGAGGTTAGAGCTTCTTGGAGGGTAGAAGGATCCTCCTCTACATTAAGAACTACAAAGTCTGGGCCGAAGTCTTTTGCTACTCTAGCCCGCTTGCTCTTTCTTAGTTCGGGTTCAGCATCCAATTCTTGTGAGTTAGACCTGACTTTAGGAATAATAGAGGTGGACGAACCCCCACTATTTCTAGATTTAAAAGGAAACCTGTCCTCATAAAAATCAACATCATTAGATTCAATAATTACACGAGCATTTAAATCAAAGAATCTATATGCCTTACTGTTAATAGCATATCCAATGAATACACATTCATAAGCTCTACTAGCTAATTTAACTCTTTTAGGATCAGGAATCCTAACATATGCTAGACAACCCCAAGTTCTGAAATAAGAAATGTTAGGTCGTTTATTACGAAGTATTTCATAGGGAGAAACCTTACTCTTAGTCTTTGGAATACGGTTTAAGACATAACAAACAGTTAGTAGAATTTCACCCCACCAATGATCAGCAGCACCAGAATATAAGGAAATAGCAACTACTAATTCTGTAAAGGTCCTGTTTTTCCTTTCAGCCTTTCCATTCATTTCTGGGGAATAAGGAGCTGTCCTTTCATGTATGATACCATGTGATTTATAAAATTCTACAAAAGCATCAGTATCATACTCAGTTCCACGATCACTTCGTAATCTTTTTATTTTCTTGTTAAACTGATTCTCAAACTCTGTTATAAACAACTTAAACATTTCAAAAGCATCACTCTTATTTTTCATCAAATAAATACAAGTATAATCAGAACAATCATCAATAAAGGTGATAAAGTATCGTTGTCCATTTCTGGTCAACGTTCCATTTAGTTCACAAATATCCGAATGGATTAAGTCTAATGGTTCTGAGTTTCTAATCACTGATTTATGAGGTGTTTTTGTAATCTTAGCCTGACTACAAGAATCACATTTGTCAAAGTCATTGAGAGAGATATTTGGAATAAGGCCTAAATTGCTCATATTTTTTATGAGTCTTTTGTTCACATGACAAAGTCTAGTATGCCAAACATTAATAGTAGAACACAACATATAAGCGGAATTAGGAATTTTATTAACTTCAACATTCAGTTTAAACATGCCATCAGTAGCATATCCTTTTCCTACAAATATTCCATTCTTAGTTAAAGTAAACAAATCAGAACCTATGGTTTGTATAAAACCAGCCTTATTGAGCAAAAAACCAGAAACTAAATTCTTCCTCATTTCCGGAGTGTGTAACACATCTTTCAGAATGAGAGTCCTGCCAGAAGTAAACTTCAACTCAACATTTCCAACACCAGCAATGTTAGTGGAATGGGAATCACCCAACAGTACTTTCTTATCATCGGTCTTTTCAGTGTATGTTTTAAACATTCGACGATCATAACAGACATGGCGTGTGGCACCAGTGTCTATCCACCACCCATCTGATCCACCAGTAAGGTTGATCTCAGTAATCATAGCCACAAAAGGCTCTTCAATCATGCTAGCCTGCGCAGGCACAGGGTTAGGCATGTTCCTACACTTTCGTGCCATATGGCCTGGTTTTCCACACCGATAGCACAGAAATTGACCAGTACCATTCTTAGGGGGTTGAGACTGTTGTCTTCCATTGTTCTTTTGAACATTCGTTTTATTGAAGTTATTCTTCCGGTTCTGAGGTTTGAAATTCTTACCAGCAGGTTTAAGTACTGCAGCAGATCGCCTAGGAGCATTATTAGCAGAGATTTGTAAAATCTTTTCCTTTAGATCCTGTTTTCTGGATTCTTCTTCTATACGTAGCCGAGTGATCAAACTCTGTAAGGAGAATTCCTTAGTCTTATGCCTGAGATTATTTTTGAAATCTTTCCAGGAAGGAGGCAGCTTGTCAATAATAACAGCAATTTGAAATTGTTCATCAAGGGCCATACCTTGGGAAATTATCTCATGGGCAATTTTCTGAAGGTCGTGAGACTGCACTTCCACGGACTTATCATCAGTCATCTGGAATTTTAGGTACCTACTGACAGCATACTTTTTGGCACCTGCTTCTTCAGTATCATACTTTTTTTGTAGGGCATCCCACAAATCCTTAGCAGTATTTTCCATATTATAATAGTCATAGAGGTTATTAGACAGACCATTAAGTATATAGTTTTTGCACATGAAATCAGTTTCATTCCAGGTTTCGATTTCACTATTCAAGTAAGCTAATTCATCTTCAGGAGCATTATCAGGAATAAATGGCCGAGGGGCTGTTAAGGCAGAATTAACCTTTTTGACAGTTAAGAAAAATTGCATTTTCTGTTTCCATCTTTTAAAGTGAGCGCCCTCAAAACGAAAGGGCTTGTTAAGGTCAGCAGACATAGTCATTTCTTCGGTAGACATAGTGTTCACGAAGGCAGAAACGACTGTTCTAAAATTGTTATAAACGGAATTGCACAAATAAAATAGTAAGAACAATGTTACCGAGAATAAGACTGAGTCGCGGACTATGTCGCTCTCTTTAGAACATTCGCGGCACTGCCTCAAACTTGTGGAAGCAGCTCGTACCAAACCGGATGCCCCCAGGATAAAACAGTCTTTCACAAGTATAAAATACCGGCGGTTTTGCACCGAACCACCGGACAACGGAACACCAGAAAATCAGAAAGAAAACTGCTCGACTGTTTTGAGAGGAAGAGAAAATATATTTTGCAAAGTGGTTTTCTGTATTTTTTCGTGTGTTTAAAAACAAAGCTGGAACCGTCCTTTTATAGGTAAAGATACGTAACAGCTTAAGCATGAAAACGGGAGAAAGATTAGCAACGTTTTCTGCAATTAGTGTATCCGTTAAGCAAGAATCAAGGCATTAAATCAGTGTAACGGTGCAACGTTTAGCAGTAAAACAGCAACGAGAATCAAGCAATGTAACGGAAAAATTTAAACCAAAACAGTAAAACGTTTTGTAACTGAATATTAATCAAACCGGTAACAAAAATTAAGTTTGTTTAATAACCCAAACCCGACCCCGACCCAGCCCAGCCCGGCTCGGCTCGGTTCGGCGCGCGTGTGTGTGATATATGGTTTACCATATAGGTCCTCCCTCTCCACAAAATGTGGGTAGCCTAAGGGCCACACCCCTTTAGCCCACTCTCTATATTATAAAGAGAGTAAAACTCTCATTTCCCACCAATGTGGGACTTTGAGTTTTTTTCACAAAATTCACACACTACACACTTGTTGTTCCAACACTTTCACACAGAAAACGCGCTAACCGACTAAGTAAATTTAGAATAAGTAACCCCTGACCGACTAGTAACCCCTAAATAAGTAACCCCGGAATAAGTAACCCCGGCGAAAACGCGTTAACTGACTGAGTAACTCCAGAATAAGTAACCCTTGACCGACTGAGTAACCCCTGAATAAGTAACCCCAACCACACGGTGTGGCCAACCACACAGAAAAAGCACCGTATTGTATGATATATTGCTGGATTAGTCACGTTGTGTATTATACATGTTCATCGGATCAATTTTTTTTTATAATTTATTAATATATATAATTAGAAAAAACTAAAAATCAAAATCATGTCTCCTATGTGTGTTTAATCAAAGTGTAACTTTCTAACTTTGCAAATCCAAGATCTTTGGACGCTCTATTGCAAAATCCTACTACGTAGAAGATACGAATAACACTCTAAATACTTACAGATTATACACAAATATTCAGAATTACCATTCAAAATTAGCGTTTTATAGCGAGAAGAGAAGAAAAACTCCTAATTAGAAAAACTAGGGTCAAAGAGACTCGAAGGAAGACAGCCTTAGAACCGCCAAAACTCCAGCAAGTTCCTAGGGTTACAATTTAGTGCGAGTGCTTAGAGCCTTAGAGGAGTGAGAACAGAGGTTTCAATTTGTTTACGATGGCTGCTTCAAAATTAGAAGGAGCCAGAGTAATACATGCGTGATGCACGAGTACATTATGAGGGTAGGGCACTCATCAGCCTATGTATCCCCAATCACGGTGTGCAAAAACACACCCTACACCGTGCCAAAAACATTTAACCAATTTACAGTAGCTGTAAATAACCTAATAGAAGAAACCCAGGTAAAATCAGCATCTATCTCTCATGAACTTAAATAACACAATATACGAAGTACATAAAAATCCAGTGACCTAATTTAACATTAAATGCTCTTCCAGTTCCTTAGTGCCGGAATTTTTGACAGGGCAAAGAAAGAATTATTAGCATAATACATTGGCCAAAGCCAAGCATTTTCGTCCTACAATTTGATTTCAGGTGAGCTGCAAACACCGATCCTACTTACAGTCTACTCCTGCCAAGCATTTCACTACAACATCTACATGCAGCTGCCATCAGAAATTCAGAATCATCTGCTGCTATCTTACATTGAACTGAACCTGGAACAATACAGAGTTCATGTCCAATTCAACATGACAATCCAGGAAGTAAGATATATCGGCAGAATTGAAGCCTTCAAGGATGAGAAGATGATATAATAGAACACCAAAAAAGCATTAGATACGCAAGCACTTACTTACATTAAAAGGCTGGTCAGGGATAAAAAGGGCTATTTACAAGATTGATTCGAGGCTGCAAGGCTAATAATGCCTCTTTGCAATTAAGGTATACATATATATTATGTATATGGAACACCAAAAGACTACAGAATACGTCCAAAATTGGGAGTAATATAGACGGACTATACTCAATCTTCCATCCTGAAGACGGCCTCAATGCCACACCTAGATCTGTCCCAATGAGACCACAGGGAACGCACATACTCCTATATTGATGCCAGCTCCAAGAATCTGCCAAAAAAACAATAGTAAAAAGAGTCAAGCAGAGCTTGTAAGAACTCAAATCATAGTAAAGAGTGATCAAAATATTGGACAATACCTAATTACACACCTAGAAAGGCTAAAACCATAAAGGTCATCTACTAATGGCTTTCAGCATTAGATTCTGATGAAGGTAGTGATTGTTTTGCTTCTTTTAAATCTGAACCGCCAGCAGCTGGCATATTCTCATCAATTTTGGAATTTTGCCTCGGCGTCATCTTCTGTACTTCCTCTTTTGTGTAGATGAGAATTTTGCGCACCATGCCACAGAATTCCCTGAGTCAATTTGCAAATAAATTAAACTTTGGAACCAAAATTGACAAGTTGATAAAGCTATTTGAATAGAGAAGCAACACATACTGCCATGGATCATCCCCAACCAGCATCATATCACCCTCCTCATCAGTGTAGACAATTAGCCAATTCTTCTCAGGGTTCTTGAGCTCCCCTTTGAAATCAAACAAGCAATCCAATTCCTCAACCAACTGATCATAGTTGTTAAACTTTGAGAGATCAACGGACCTGCCAAGGGCAATCCCCTGCTTTAGTACCTGAATTCAAGAAAAGTTAGCCATGGTCTCTTTGACACACTTAGGACTATAATGGCCAAGGGTAAAAAGATGTTCAAAAAAGAGGTAGATCCTAAGGTACCTTAGTACAGCTCCTGGAGGAATGCCCTTGTCCTTTCACTTGTGCATCTCGGGGAAGTGATTGAGAGCTTGGCATTCTCTTTTCCTGCTCGCTGCATGCAGGCAAGTTGTCCATCTGCTTGGAACCCTTGGACTGCTCTGAACTTCGATCAGATTCACAGTTGTACAGAGGATGCAACGTGGGAGTCAGAGGAGTTGAAGGCTCGTCAAGATGTCGTTTGCTCGAGGCAGAAAAGTCCTGCGTTGTAGAGCTGCTAATGAGGGGAATGCCAAATAATTTATAGTTCCCATCCTTCTGCTTGATAGGCTCGTGGTCATTCCGTGAGGGCTGCATTGCAATCTCTCTGGTTGGAGCATGATTATCAAAATATAATTGGCCTGGGGGAGGCATTAGCCAGTTTCCATCGTGATTATCTATTCTATGACCACGAAGCATGGCCATGTCACTTAAGCCTCCATAACTCACATTTCCTTGGGCCTGATATGAGACATTGCTACTTGGTGAATGAACTTTCATATTTGATTCTGACATATTTAACGAAAGACTACCAGGCATCATAGACCAGGAATTTCCGAGCATGCTAAATCTGCCATCTTGATCTAATATAGTCTTTTTCATAGGTGACGTAGCTGCAGTTTGATAAGGTGAGTGAAATCCAGAAGCTGTTTCATTATGGACACCAAAGGTTGACAGCAGATCAGCATATGCTGGTTCAGGCCTCATGGATGATATCCAATTTTCATACGCATATTTCCGTGAAGCTTTGACATTGTCAGCTTTTTCATCATCGATAGAATTGGGCCACACATTAGGTTTCTCTGCAATTTCAGAATCATTGCTGTCTACAAGGTTAGGTCTCAAGGTCGGATATTCATGACCTTGCAAGACCCTTGAATACCCACCAACAGGTGAAGTGTCTGCTGCCACTTTAGACAAACCTGGTTAACAACAAATCAATCAGCCAATAATGATAGGGATTTGGAAGTGAAATTGCCTCCTAATACCTAAATGCAATACAGTAAGTCCAAAGCAACAATTACCTTCTCTTGTATGAACAGAGGACTCTGAAGATTGAGTAACCACATTTACACGAGGTCGTTTTGCTCTAGTCACTGGAAGGGGGTTTATTGTTGGAGGAGTAAGAGCAGGTTCAGTTTGCCAGGGAGAGACCCTATCCGGACGAGGCATAGTGGAAGTTTCATCCCAGCGAACCTGTAAAAAGTACCATTGCTTCAGTAATTCCCAATAGGTCTACAATAATGAAATTAAGCACCACAGTAAAAGTAATGGCATACCTTCAAACACCTCCACTTAGAGTCTTGCCATCTGTGGGGATGGGCGTCTTCCATGCCAACAATAGTACCTGTAAACCTACAAATTCAAAAAAGAACAAAAATCAACTGACACATTTCAGCATATCACACAAACTGACATCTGAGGCAAAGATCAAAACATATATATTTCCTGTAAAAGTCATATAATAACAGTTCCAATATCTGCTCATACAGGAGAAGGATTACATCTTTTGCCAATAACTAAGAGATGTACCTTTGCTCTGGAGACTCTTCCCCTTCAAATCTCATCTTAAATCTCATCCCTATGGAGTACTGATTCTTCAAAGACTCCATGTATTGATCATATGGAACAATAAATTGAGCAGGACTTGTCCTGCAAGAAAATTTTATTCCAGAGGTAAGTAAGGCACCCCCGACTTATTATACCTGCTGCAACCAATTGTCTTATGCAAGTTCAAGCAGACTAAGAAAGGGTAACAACAGTATGAAGCAAAAGTACCACTTAGTCGACATGTTGATGGCATACAATTAATTGGGCAGAGTCATGACAATTTAAACATACCTAGGTTTGTAGTATACGGTAAACATGGTCCCAGAGCTGATTGCATGCAATGCTGTTGCTAGGACTCCAAGATGCATACTGTGACTTGATATGACAGATGATGGCACAACACCCTGCTGCCTCATTGCACGCCTCACTCCAACACGGAGTTCACCATTCTCACCTCTAGGAAATAAAAAATATATATATATATATATATATATATATATATATATATATATTTACAGCTTAGCATGAGCTTAGTCTCAAAATGTAGCATATTGCAAAACAATCAAAATTGGAGAAGATAACAAACCTGAGAAAAATAAATGCGTCACCAGCCACAAGTCTTTTTGAGCTAACAAACACACTCCAGCCGCTTTGTAGCAGATGCCTCCTGGGTTGACCTAGCAATCAAAAAATCAAGAAATTAGAGAATGGACTTATGGACCTCTTACAAAATGAGCCAAACCAATCACAAGTCCACGAGTATTGTTCAAATGTGGACAAAAACCATCTAATTATCCAACATTCCCAGAGAATCACATGTGTAATATAATGACAAGTGATTTTTGTCAATGATGGTTGAAGAAGTGATCCAATGATCAAAGTATCCCCAAGACAAACTTCCTTTTTAGATTACTTGCACCAGCAATTTTCAAGAGCACATACAATGTATGGCGACGACAGTTCTAGCTTATCTAATAATGTCTACAATGAGACACCAAAAGGTAAGAGGAAAACAGAAATGAAACTAAACTGAAAATTTCACAGCATCAGTGAGGAGAGCTACACTGCTAAAAGTGAAATTAACATATTACTAAATTGGAAGAGCTACAAACATCAATAATCTGCTAAAGCACACCACACAGGACACTAGGACAGTACACTGCAAAGAAGAGTAGCAACTACAGAAAATTCTACCTCGGAAAATATGCCTGAAACGCCAATCATTTCCATGTAGATCCTTAGCCACCAACTCTTGTGTAGGTGGTTGTCGAGTCATATCCTATAATACAAAATCTCAAAAATCAATATATAATCTCAAAAAAAAAAAAAAAAAAAAAAGCAATCACCATCCATGGCGAATAAGACAAAGCTATCAAAACTCACCAAGGGTGGAAGGCATTCATCAGCATGTCGCCTAAGCACCGAGAACCCACCGTGAGTACTCGTATCTGACGCAGTCAATGTCTTACAAAACGAGTGAACATGAAAGTGCGGTTGTGGATCAGGTGAAGTTCCCTTCTCTTTAACACTCTCTTCAGGCTACAATCATCATCATCATCAACAACAACAACAACAACAACAAAGCTTAATATAATAAACACCCATTTCTACAAATGTCTAAACCAAACTTTCCATATAAGTAGCTCACTTACTATTGGAAGTAACATCACTTGGGCATACACTTCATCCGTCTCCAGTTCAGCCTATATAATTAAATGTAACATTCATTAATCATCATCTATCTCTATTACATGCTAAAAATACAATCAAAATCACCCAAGAAATACACAAAATCTAACCTTCAATTGCACATCGATTACGCGACACAAGATCTTCCATGGAAGACTATAATTAGGCATTTGCTTATCAGCAGCTTGATTAGTAGAAGCCTCCACCTAATCAAACCCCAAAACCCAAAAACATTAGTATTAAAAAAAAATACAAAAATACCCAAAAATTGACTGAGTAAACTACTGTAGCAACCCAAATTGACCAAGAATTTTATTCCAAAAACAGATCCATGCTAACCAAGAACATCAATAATAATTTCATAAATTCCAAATAAATTGGTAAAAAATAATAAAATAATTAATCTCAGATACTTTAAATTATTAAAAAATAAAAATAAAAATAAAAATTAAGCAGATAATTAAGAAAAATCCAACCTGCTCAATATGTCCTTGAGGAAAGTAATAAACAAGCTCATTAGGACGAGGCACTGTCACCAAAGGACCAGCACAAGCATGCCACAACTCCTTATACAGCGCTGTTTCCGGATCCACTGCACCCCAAATTTCTATTATTATTAAAAAATTACTTTTAATTAAAATTAAAATACAGTACTTATCATACACCCTAATACACCAGATCATTATCCGCCGGAATTACCTTTTCCGGTACCTACGCCGGCGGCGGTGTGTGTTTGTTGTTGTTTTCCTGCTTTGTTCGTTGCTTCCTCTGTCGCTTTCATCGACGCCACCTCCGATGAACTCATTATAATTATAAAATCAAGTTTTGGATAATAAATCAGTAGTTCAGCTGTATTCACCACAGATCTTTCATCTGTTGTTCGTTAATCAGGTTCGAAACACGAATCACGAACTTATTCGAACAAAAAATATGAAGAAACAAACTGGGTTTTGGATGAAGGAGGAGTGATGGTTTGTGTGTTTGATGAGAGGGAGAAAATGAGAAAAATGGAGTGGTTTTTTTAATTTTATTTTTAGAAAGAGAGAGAGGAAAAATGGAGGAGAGAGAAAGGAGGAAAAAGAGGAGGCTGTGACTTGTGAGGTCGTAAGAAAACGGAGCGAATAAGAGTAACAATGGTCAAGAGTAGAGAGAGAGATAAAACGGGTAACAGCCGGTAAGAAAAGGGTTGACCGGGAACAGCCGGTAAGAAGTGATAGATGCCGGCACTTGATTGGTTGGGGATTTGGGGGTAATCTGCCCATCCTCACTACAAATCCCACACTCTCTCTTACATTAATTACGTTATAAAGAGGACTACTTTTAGTTTAGTTGTGTTGTGTTTATACATTGGTATACTAATACTTTCAGAAGAGTATGTTTTTGTAAAGGGGAAAATTAATAAGGATAGTCCTAACTTTTAGGGGTCTTTCTCTTTTGAAGAGTATCTTTTTTTTTTTTTTACTCTGTCCTTATTTATTCTTTGTGTTTTTCTTTTTCATTCTTAGCTTCATAATGTTATTTTAAATCTAATCATTAATTATTGTGTTATACTCACTTCATTTCCGAATGATCTTTTCATTTGGAATCTTGACACTATTCATAAGATGCGAGAATCTTTTAAATTATTCTTGTTGTATAAAACATAAAACATTAAGTTGGGTTCTGTTTATTTCGTCTCAATGAATAATTTATTAATATTCAATTGCTATACTCCCTCTGTTTTCCTAGGTGTTACTCACTTGCATTTTATGCGGTTTCTAATGCACTATTTTGATCATTAATTTCTTTGATGGTGCATTATTAGAAATTATACAAAGTTGATATGTTGAAAATTCATAACAATACGGATCTAATAAGATCAACTTGATAATGTTTTTTCCTATATATACACAATTAGACATGGTCAAAATTATAAATCTTTGACCTTGTGAATGGTAAATGGGTAGAAGACGTAGTATATTTTACCTAATATGCAATTAAAGATATTCATGGTCAAAGTAAACACGTTGACAAACATGTACAATTAAAGTGAGAAGATCATTGTGAAACGGATGGAGAATGGTATTTCTCTATCTTTTACACGATTATAATTTATGGTCTTCGTTGTTTCTTTTTCGGTTCTTATAATTTCAATGAATTGTACATTCTTTGTTTCAGAATAAGTATTTCACTTTGACAAATTAAATAAATCTATCAATACTCAATACACAATTTTGATTATTAAATTAATATCTTATTATATTCAACTAACTACACTCAGCTCAAGCGGTATTTCTTTAATTGTTCATCATCTAATTATGACCTACCCTAAACAAATTAAATTCAATCCAGACTAAAACTAAACTCAATTGAATAACATGACATTAAGAGCATAGGGATTTGTTGTGAGACAATTTATTTTGTCTTTAATAACAATTATTATTTTTAAGAAACTAAAATGAGAATATCAAAATACCAACATGAGATATTTTTAAATAAGTTAGGATTACGATAACAATCAAAGATCCATAAAAGTAGAGAATATTCGGAGAAAAATCAAGTTTATTAGGTTGATTTACTTATTTACAAAATTTGTAAATCAGCCACCTTTTTTTGTATTGTTTTTTTAAATAGATAAAATGACAAAATTACCCCATTTACAAGATAAAATGACAAACTATACCTTAATTATTAGCTAAAATGACAAAACTAAACTACCCCTTAATTTACAATTTTTTATACTACATAAATCAAACTTATACACTGGGTGTTCCTCGAATATACATATTAAATTTTCCTTTATAAAAGTAGAAGTATTTTACAAGACCCTAAAATAATATGGAGTACAATAGAATACCATTATTGGTTTGGTTTTGGTGGGAGGTTAATTTTTGTTATTTTTGATAGTGAGATAGTTTAACCATGGTTACCTTATGTTTACAGATTTATATCATCTTTCCTTTATTTCCCAACCACCAAATGTTACCCTAAATAGTGGGTTTGTTTCCCCTTCATTTGATAGTTTTAGCTTTTATCAAAATTATGTGTCTTGTTAAATTTGGTAATATTGAGAGTTAATGTGTTGTTGCCTTTCCATAAGGCTAATAATGCCATACAAGGTTACACTCACTTGTATTAGTAAAAGTTGTTGGATGCATCTCTTTAAATTAATATCTCTTGGGTTTTTTCGTATTATCACTTGCCTTTATTGTGCCCTCTTCCAAATTTTTCAACCCTTATTTATTTTTATTCTCGCTTTGACGCAACTGTTTTTCCTTGGTCTACACTCATTTACTAGGGTAGTAATAACTACGTACTCCGTAATAGCGTAACACTCCATCTGTTTTTTTAAATCTAGTACTCCCACCAGTTTTAAAATAAAGCCCCAATTTGACTAGCACATTTAATTATCAGTAGGTATTAATAATTAGTAATCAAAAATTAAACATGCATTGAGAATTAACAAGTATCTACGTGATTATATTTAATCTTGTATATGAAGCAAATAGAGGTCGGTCACAAATAGTGTAAAAATCAAAGTAGGGCATTTATTTTGAAACTGAGGGATTAATGTTAAATATGGGTCTGGGTCGCACCCATCACCAAAAGAGAGAGAGTCCACTTCTCAGGACCAAAGGAGGTTCCATCCCAAAACCATATGGCAATAGGAGGAGTAGTCCTTTAGTCTTGTAAAGCGTGTAACTCTCTCTTATTTTCTCATTATGAGAAGTTTATAATTCAACACCCCCCCACATCTGAGGTCCTTTAAATTTCGTCTCATGTGATGTTTTATGGGGTTAGAGCGCATTTTTTCAATCCCCCTTAGATAGACCCACTCAATTTGGTTTAGTGTACTCATTAAAAAAAGTCATTAAAGGTCCCAAACCGTGAGTCTGGCTCTAATACCACATTAAATACGAGCCTAGGCCGCACCCGTAACCAAGAAAGATAGTCCACTTCACAAGTCCAAGGAGAGGTTCCATCCCAAAACCATATGGCTATAGGAGGAGTAGCCCCTTAGCCTTATAAAGTGTGTACCTCTCTCTTAGCTAAATGAGTTAAAAACTCTACTTTGCTATGCGCACATACATACCCCCTTGTGTTTTTGAGCCGGCCTAATGCTCTTTCAACATGGCTCTTCGTTCTTTACTAGAGCATATTATTACCACTTCTAGGCCAAGGTTTGGCAACTGGCAATGGAGGCTTGCCACATAACCATTTTACTTTGGGGGGGGGGTCGGTGTTTATTCTGCAGGTGATGTATGTTCTAAATTATGCTTTTCTTGAGTCGCGATTGCAGTCTGCTGCTTTGTAAACTAAGCTCCTTCGGCATGCTGGACCACCTTTGATGATGCTTTGAGTCTATATAATAGACTCGTGGAGACTAACACTTTAAGTAATCCAAGTGAGATCGCAGCCCCCAAACTCATGAAGAAATTGGCAGATATATATTTCACAGATGTTACTATAAATGTTGAATCCACATTTTCATTATCCCCTCGGAAAATGGGTTTGTGAAAATCTCAGCAGGGAGATCGCACCTCTGATTGGCTTAGGACGATTCCAATTTCAGGTTTGGGTCAGACTATATATAAAAGGTGACATCTATGGACTAGTATGGAGACCATGATGTGTCTTGTGCTGGTATTGTTGGCATTAAACACTGATATAATGTTGTTCGTGACACACTTATCGATATTTGTTATCGGTCTGGGATATCTGCAGGTAAAGAGGTTGATATTGGGCTGAGTTGGACAAACCTATCCGTCCTACGGACATGTAATTGGGATAGGGGTCTTGATGTGTGTATCAACCGACTGATTGCTGAATCATCGCCCTTGACACAGTCTGCGATGTCTGATTTTGTACCCGGTCATGTGGTGATAGATGCTGCCCGTCGTAAATGTGCTAAGTATCAAACTAAGTGTAAGGCAACTAGGTGTGGTTTTCTTCCTTTTTCCGTTTCAATTCATCATTGGGAGAATTAGAGACAGCTGTTGTTGCTTTGCTTAAACGGGTACAGAAGTTCTCCACGACTCAAGATATTGAGACTCGAGCAGCAACCCACATATTTGTTAGGATTAGTTTTGCTATAGCTAAAGAAGTGGGGGTCCAGATTGTTTCTCGGCTACCCACTAACTTATTTTATATAAATCTTTTTGAGTTGATAAATATAATCTTCTTATAATAATAAAAATAAAATAAATAATAACTACCTGTATTATTTCAAGAGAAGTATGAAGTATTAACTTCCTTTGTAAATAATGCCCATACATCTTATAGCAATGACTCGTAGCACCGATGCACGAGCTGAGATCTAACTTAGATTAAAATCTAATAACTTTATAGCAAAGTACCTATAATTGTCAAAGTCACAAGTGGAGTATGTGAGTAAGCAAGAGCGATTAACACACGTAATTTAATCTGAACCTACAAGCCATGTTAATTTTGTCCTTGGTAAAACCAAAAACACCATATTTGGGCAAACATAAGCTAATGAAACTTTTAAATTCCGTAAATGTTTTGCTTAGTATACAAAGGACCACAACTTTCCCTTTGTAATAAGAGTAACTATCACTCCCCATTAATTTTAAGTACCCTCTAGCTTCCAACAAGACGTAAAGTATTTTTTCACCTTCAATTATTTTTCATACCAAATACTATGAAAGTTATACGATGCTTTAAATTAGCAACTAGCTTTTTATTATGGTATTTAGAACATTCAAATTGAATGTGATAATGTTTTAGTCATCAACTTAATAAAAAGCATTTGGGTAGTTGTTTGGCAAGTCGAGCATATTACTAATAACACTTCCTCTCCCTCTCCTCACTCAGTTTCACAAGTGGAGTATCCAACACATTTACCAAGAAATAAATCGCGCAATAGATTGAATCGCTAATGTAATCCATTTAGTATCTGATAGTATGGATATTGATATTTATAATAACTCTAACTCTCTGATACATTAAGAATTTCCCTCGAGAGCGAAGAGGACTTCCTAATAATTATTTGTCTTAACTTATAAAAAAAAAAGTGGGTTATGTTAAATGAATCATAACTAATACTCCGTACTATTAATAAAATAGATTTTTTTTTTAAAACAATTCACATGTGAAAAGAATTGTTGTCACAGTGAAGAAGGGCATATAAAATGATTAATATGAACTTATGAAGTATATAAAATTGGTGACTTACCCTAC